TTTTAAAATTACTGAGTTTTTGACTCCCGAATATCCAATTGATTAATTAATTCTTTATAACGCATTTTATTTATCTTTGATAAATAAGAAAGTAATCGTTGGCGTTTTCCGAGAATTTTACGTAGACCTCTTTGAGATAAATAGTCTTTTTTGTGCAATTCCAAATGGGAAGTAAGTCTTCGTATCTTATTGGTGAAACTGACTACTTGAAATTCAACGGATCCTCCATTTTCTTTTTTTTCTTCTTGCGAAATAACTGAGCTGAATGAATTTTTTACCATAAAATTAAATCTCCTTAGCCTCCTTTTTTTATTGTTTTATAAATTATTATTGATCAGTAGTAATAATGTTACTAATTTTAATTTGATATACACAATAATCTTAATTTGATTACGAATTTCTATTCTTTTTTTTTAATAAAATTTTGCAATCCAATTTTTGAAAATTGGATTCAGATAGGTATACAAAAGGCTGGTATATTTCTGCACGCACAAAAAATATTTATACTTAAAACTTCAATTAAAAATGAAATAAGAATATTTTATTGATTCATTTCTAAATCGAATAGAGACGCCATTGAATTAAATTAATATCATCTATCAGAATCTAAGACAGTGCCATATGTGTATTTCTTTGTCTTCATATACCATATAAGGTACGGCCAATATAGGAAAAATGTAGCATTAACGAATTTTCAATTGTGGATACATATGGATCCTTAGCATACTAAAACGACTGCTATTATTGGTATCAAACCAATAACGATTCATACAAGCTAAATCTTCTAATCGATAATTGGGCCACAAAAAGAACTTGAATTTATTTAGTTTATTTTTATATCTATCAAGATGTTTGCTTCTTTTATCTAAAACTTGATCATGCGTTTTTACCTTATTTGCATTGTAAAATCCTGTATTTCTATGGATATCATTTCTATTCCCAGAATTGAAACAAATTAGAATTCTGAACTCTCTACGACCTCTAGGGGATAAGATATTTTCCGGAACAAGCAAATCATAATGATTGCTGGTTCTATTTTCATTCGTTTTTTGATGTATTGCAATGGATTCAGCAAAACTCTTCTTATAAGGATAGCCTTTTTCTTGATATCTTTGATTAATTTGGTACTTATTCTTATGAACTAATGAAATACCTATGGTTTGAGACATAATAAATTGTCCATCATTTTCTACAGACAGACGAACAGGTTCGATAATAAATATTCCCCCTTTTAAGAATTCTTTATGAAACCGGAACTCCTTGGGAACTATCAGCATCTCCAGATTTATTTCTCCTCTTTCGATAGAGGATATAGTAATTTTTATGGGATTTATCAGTCTAAGCAGGAGACAATATACGTTGATGTTATTCATCAGTTTGCCAGTTAAGGAATTCTCCCATCTCAATTGAAAAAGAAAATAGTTGTTTACGAAGGAATCAAACAGGGCTTCCATGTTTTTCTTGGATTTTTTTTTCTTTCTACGTTTTTTCACATCTGCTTCCGCGGAATCTTTTTCAAGATCTTTTTTTTGGTTTGATAAAACTGAGTCACGATTCTTTTCGTCCACAACTTCCTTTTTTCCTTTATTTCCATTTTCTAATTCAAGAAGTTTTTTCTTCGCTGATATTAAAGGAGATCCTTTTTTCTTTCCAATTAGTTTTTCATTTTGACTAATAATGAAATTTTCATTCAAATTTAAAAGAAGTGATTTGATTGGTATGATCCACGGATTAATCTTA